CTGTATCCGGGTTAATGCAAAAGATGAAAAGATGTAAAGTCTCCATCTTTTTGTATGACTGAATAGTATTCCATGGTATACATATATACAAACCCCAGGTTATTAATCCATTGATGTGTTGATTGATGGGGACTTAGATAAAAATAATTTTTAAGTCCACAGTAGTGACTGCTATGTTTATGGGAAGAAGCTAAAGTTGGAAGATCAGAAAACCTGGATGGAAGCCTGACACGTATCATGCTAAGGACATAAGTCAGCAAAGAAAATAAAGAAGAAGAAGAAAAAAAAAAGAAAATAAAGAAGTAGTAGGAGAAAAACCAAGAGTGTGTTGACTCACCAAAGCCAAGATAGAAGTATCCAAGGACTGTCCCCTTCTATTGCAGCTAATTAAAAAGTTGCATTGGGTTTTAAGGTTGATACACTACTTACTTTTGTTTCATCTGTAAAATAATTCATATTTCTGGTTTAAGAGAGTTTATTCTGTCCTTTTATACTGGTTGAGTTAATTAGACCAAGGTTACTGAGGTCATGGTTTGTGGGCCAATTTTCACAGGCTTGGTAAGTAAAATCAATCTCTATTTATAATAAATATTGCTTACAACTTGAAGTGAACACACACAGTTTTCTACAGCAAACATTCTGTCATGTGGCTTTCTATAAACAAACAGTAGTTTTCTAAGATTGCAAAGCCAGTAGTCCTTAGAACTATTAAAATAATCCTTTCACTATCACAGGAAATCTCTTTGCCTTTCTTAGTAAACAAAATTTAAATAGATATTTGACTTTATTATGATAATATAGAATAAGCAAAGATTTAACTTCTGTGTTATGGTTACTTGCAAGTAAATATTTGCTACCTTTTTCCTAACTTGCTTCTCATCTGTTTAACAAGCTGTAAGGAGGAGTGCTTGTCCTCCCCAAGTACATGTGCCAATCGCCTTTGCATCATCTTCAAGGACCCTCATCCAGCTGCTGCTCCAGCCTTGCACACTCCGGCTCCAAGCATGTTTTCTAGTCAAGGCAGAGATAAAGAGCGTGGAGCTTATACTGTTCTCTTTGCATATCCCAGATAAGATACAGAACAGAAGAGCTCACACTTGGCTAGTGGTGGTCACAACTGTGTTTAACCTTAAAAGTGGGGGAAAAAAGCCCTCATGTTTGAGGCCCATTCTAATGAGGGTATGATCCTCACGGCCTCTCCCAGGGGTCTTCTCCCCAGGGAGTGGGGGGGGGTGGTTTGTGCTTGCTCTTGATTGCTTCTCACTTTACACCGCAGGGCCCTCTGTTAATACCACTTTCTCCTGTGTTATAGTCAGACTCATGTCTAATTGTCCACTGGAGGCTTATTAAGAACAAAGGTCCTGATTTATTCATCTTTCTGCTCTTTTGAAATCCATTGCTCATTTCTTTCAGGGTGCTAGGGAGAAAGTGTGCTACGGAGGTTAAATAAAGATAAGGAGATACCTTCTCAACAGGAGTTGATGGTCAGACAAAGGACATATAAGTAATTTGTAATACCTGGGAACAAGGTAACACAGAGATACATATGGACGATGGGGACATAGGAGAGAGGGAGGTGCTTCAGCTTGAGGAAGGTAGGTGAAGTCATAGAGCCTCTGGAATCAGTCATGCCTTATATGATGTTAAAAGGTGAGGAGGTTTGGTGATGGGAAGGGCATTCCAAATAGAAGGAACACAGGAGCAGAGGCAGGGAGGTGAGAGGCCCTGGGCCTTTACAGAAGCTCAAGTAATTTAGTGGTATGGAGCCCAAAATTTGAAGCAAGAAATCAGGAGATGAGGCTGTCAAGACCAGCAGGGGCCAAACAGAGAAGTTGTGCACACAGCTTCGATCTTGACCAAGGCTTATGAAGTTCACTGACTGCAATGGTATTTGCCATGTTGGTAATTTTTGCCTCCAATCTTGCATTGGAGGTCAAGGTTCTGAGGTGGGTTAAGAAGAAATGTATAGCAAAGTATGTTTAGCAAGCCACTAAACTTATTAAAGGAAGCAAGCCCTGTTGCTGATGGTCTCTGCTTAATTTTGGGATAGGAAAAGTTTGGTACAATGTTGCAATTGCCTGTTGACTCCAACATAGAATGACAAAGTGGCTCAATCAGAGTGGTGAGAATCTGGTGATGGATAGAGGCTAAGTCTCACCTGTGGGGTTGTCATGGCAAGTTCCCTGGTTGCCCTGACTGGAGAGTATGGACTGCAGAGTAGGACTGGCCTGTGAGTTGGGAGAACACAGCTGCCACTAAGATTTGTGGTAGGCTTATTGTCCCTCTTGGGGCTTGAGCAGGCGGGCCCAGAAACATTGCTCTATGCAACTCTTTGCTTATGGCAAAAACAAGATGAGAAGCTAGATCAGAGAGGGTATGTCGAGAGTGAGCTCCCAGGCAAGGCAAGGCTTTATTGTTGCTGTTGCTATTTTTCTGGAAAAGGAGAATGCAGAGGTTTTATCCTGGAAACATCAGAAATAGTCTCTGGGCATTGATGATTTATTTAGCTAATGCAGATTTTATATGGAGTGAGTGTGAGTGTTTAAACAAATCTGAGTAGTACCACGTATTAAATTCTTCCTTCTAACATCTACATTTCATCTGGCTTCCTGCAGTTTTTGCCTCTGTCCCTGTAGGTGTTTAGATGTGAGATGCTTAAAGTAATGTATACAGGACCCACAGAATTTTTCAAAATGATTCCTCATCACACAATTAAACTTGTAAGGCAGGAGGGGAGAAATTGTTACTCCCATTTTTTTTTTTTTTTGAGACAGAGTCTCACTATGCCACTCTCGCTAGAGTGCTGTGGCTTCACAGCTCACAGCAACCTCCAACTCTTAGGCTTAGGTGATTCTCTTGCCTCAGCTGCCCAAGTAGCTGAGACTACAGGCACCTGCCACAATGCCTACCTATTTATTTTTGTTGCAGTTGTCATTGTTGTGTTAGCTGGCCTGGGCCAGGTTCGAACCTGCCAGCCTCGTTCTTACGAAATATATATTGTTTTCATATAGGCTGCCAGCCTCAATGTATATGGCTGGTGCACTACTCACTGAGCTATAGGCACCAAGCCTGTTACTCTCATTTTATAGATGTCATAACCAAGGCCACACCAGATTTGGTGATGTTGCTAGTCTGTGGCTGATTTGAGACCAGAGTCCATGTTATTTGCTTCCTGGTTGTCATTGTTCTTTCTGTCCTAGGACTCTGTCCCTAGAACAACAGCCTCAAGGTTCTAAGCAGAAATCAAATTCAAGACTCTCGAGTTATGAAATGGCTTATTAAGGGGTGACTGGTAATACTAGGAATGAAACAGCCCCAGAGCTCAAACCTTGGGAGAAGAGCCGCAACTGGTGTGAGGAAGCAGACGAGGTAGAAAGTGAGGTCTGAGAACTGGACTTCCATCACCCAATAGGGATTGGTGGGGCTGTTACAGGTGACACAGGTAGCGTTGTACAGTAGGGATACTGCGAAGTACATCAGGAAGCTGCCTAGGAGGATGAGCCCATGGATTATGGTCTGTGGAGGGAAAAAGAAGTAAATATTACTGACGCTTAGGGGACAGTGCAGTCGTGCTTCTTGGTTAACGGGTAATGCTGCTTTAAACTTTTTTGAAATTCAACACTTGTATAAAAAATTCAGAGAAGTACATAACTTAGCAAATCATTATAGAACAAATACCCATGTTGCTGCCACCAATTTGAAGTGCCCCCAAGCCCCTACATCTTCTGCTCTACCCCTCACTTCGGTGAGAATTTCCATGCTAGTCTTAGTAGTTTTACCACTTGTCTAGGTTTCTCTCTATAACCTGTGTTTAAATATTGGACACGTAGAATCCTGTTTTGTGTAATTTTTGTCTTTTCCCCTAAGCATTACGTTTGTGTGATGAGTCAGCTTTTCCATATGGAGTGGTGGTTTATTCATTTTCAAGGCAGTGCGGTGTTCTGTTCTCTGATCTGATCTTGTCTTGCTTGATTTTTCTCTTTTTTCATTTTTGTCCTTATTTTAAAAACAATTTTCTGTTTTAAAAATGGATATATATACATAGATGTACCTATTTTGGGGGGGGGGTTCATGTGATAATTTGATACACTCATATAAACAAATCAGGGTAACGAGGATATCCGTCACCTCAATATTTATTTTTTCCTTAAGATTTCAGTTATCCTCTTCGGGCTATTTTAAAATATACAATGATTAATATTGATTATATCACCCTACTGTTCATTTAAAAATACTCTTTGTATAATTTTGTTTTCCCTCTTTACTGGTTCGGACATTTCTTACTCCAATTCTATTTTGTTCAATAATATCTCAATAAATGATAACAAGCCACTTACTACAGCCTAAAGTTTATAACTAGTTTTCCCTCCTCTTAAATTACACAAGAGTTTTAGAGCATTTTAGATCTCTCTTTATTTTTTTTATTTCAGTCTCCTTTATTCCATAAATATTTACAAAATATCAACTATAGGCAAAACATTGAGATAACATTTTAGATCTCTTTATTCCACACCTGACTTATAGGGTATTGCTGCTGTTTAATTGTACCAGCTTATAAAATCACCTAAGTCATTGTTAGTCTTGTTTAATATGGTGAGTATTTACGAAGACCTACTCAGGTGTCTGTCACTTCCCATGTCTTGGTCCCTTCTTACACCTTTATCTCCATCTGCGGTATCTTCCCTTTTCCTTTCAGTACATCCTTTAAAATTTCCCTTCAGGGGCATATGATGGTGATATACTTTCTCATGATTTATTTTATCCTTATTCTTGAAAGCTATTTTGATGATTATAGAATGCTTGTTTGGTGGTTATTTTCTGTGTATATTTAAGATAGTATTCCACTGTCTTCTGGCTTCCATTGTTGCTATTGAAAGTTAGCAATCTTTTATCCTTTTATTCCTTAGAAAGATACCTTTATCTTCAATATCCGCCTGCTTTTTACAACTTTTACTTTGCCGTTTTTTGTTCTATAGTTCTCTTATGATAGAATGAGTATGGATTTCTTTTTCTTTATCTTGCTTGGGTTTTGCTGACCTTGAATCATCTTTTCTGCAAAACTCTCATGATCTTTTCAAATATTGCCTTTGTTTTACTCTCTTTTCTTTTCTTTCTGAGACTCTGATCAAATGTTTGTTAGATCTTTTCAGATAGTACTTTATTTTCTATGTCCCTTAATACCAATCACTTCTATAATTTTACTTTTGTCTTTGTTCTATATTCTGGCAATTTATTTTGATCAACTTTCTAATTTTCCCCTTAGGCCAACTATCAAAACTTAACTTATAGTTATAGTAGGTTTTATTTCTAAATGCTCTTTTGATCTCTTTTCCAATTTCTTAGGTAACTTTGTAGAGTTTACTGATCCCTGTAGATATTTTAAAGCTTATGCTTTATTTCTTTAGACACAGTAAACATAGTTTTTCTATAACTTATATTTGATAATTTCCATATCTGAAATATTTATTTCTGATATTTATGATCTACACTCACGGCTTTTGTTTTCTTGTGAGCTTCATTATTTATTTATTTTTATTAAATCATAGCTGTGTACATTAATGGATGTGTGATTCTTATGGTCCTTGAAAAATTAGTAGGAAGAATTTAAGGCTTAAGATAAAGGTATCTTTGTCCAGAAAGAATGTATACATGTTTTGCAGCCTTTAGGCACTGGCAGTCTTGAGTCATTAAACTGAATTCAAAATTTGGCCTTTATCCAGGTAATGTGGATCTGGGCTACAAATTTATGTGAGACTACCCCATGCCCATAATTTCCCAGGGCTGATGCTTATGTTGTTTTTTTTGCTCTGTTTAGCCAGAGGAGAAAATCCCTATAGTCTGCTGGGGATGGGCAAGGGGGATATACAGGTACATTTTTGGATTTATCTTACCCTGCAGTCATAGCCTCTGGGATCCTAATTTAATGTGGTCTTAATGTAGTAGACTCCTACCTTGGGAGCCTGGGTTTTGATTTTTGAACTTTTGCTCAATCAAGTCTGCCAAAAACAAAGTTCATTTTGGGCAGAGTTACAAATAACCCCAAAGAAAACAGAAGTGTCATCTCAGCTTGCTTCTCTAGAACCCCTCTTTCCCTGAGATTTGGTCATTACTCTCTTGTCACCTTGTTCATGCTTTTAAGGGGTTAAAAAAATATTATTCAGTATTTTCATTTGTTTTCAATGGGAGAAGTGATCTGAACAAATCAGCTTCTGTTTCTGAAGAAGAAAACATTTAGCTAACTTTTTTAATTGCTTTGGTGAAGGATTGTGAAAATTGACACAGATCTTAAAAATTCTTTTTATATTTGCACCCTGGGAAGAAACAGACTCTTTTCCTGCTTCAAGTATTTTCAAAAAGGAAATATATTTTTCACAATGACTTTAGTAGCTGGCTCTTTTCCCAAGAGTACCAGAAATCACAGATAACTATGGAGGTACTTGGGAGATGCATGCTAAACAGTGTTTTTCTTTTTTAAAAGCAGATGAGTGTAGTGCTTTGAGAAAGAGGGCTGAGAGAACAATCAGAGAAGATGCAGAATCTTTAATTTCAACCCCCCCCCC